AATAGTAAGCTAACTTCCACTTCTAGCTAAGATTAACATTCCCAAGTGAGTCTCGGATAAACTTTAGTGCAAAAATGTCTAATTTAATGGCATTTCCGTCACATCTTGCACCACTGTGCCCGCTACAGAGAGACATTGTAAGGGCATCGATCGAGCTGCAGCAGAAGATGGATGTAACATGAGCAAATACGAGAACGCTCTTGTAACGAGCTTGGGTCTAGGGGCCATGGGCATGACGTCCACAGAAAGTGTCGCCCGGCAGTCTGGTTCGTCTTTGGAGTCGCTCTTTGGGCTGCTGCCACTTGAGCCAGCCCAGCGACAAATTTGTGTGTGAGTGAGTGTGTTTGCCCAAAAATAGCATGACACTTGAATTTGAATTGGTCTCTAAGTCCGGAGTACGGACTGGGACAGGTTTTATGGTTACGCATTTATTGTATAATTTACTGTATGCAGATGGTGCTTCAGCGGTGGGGGCAAAGGGAATGCCCACAAAACTAAAATTCTATAGAATTTCCAAAGAAATTTCAACAAATTCCAAGACTGCCCGAGAGACTACTCGGCTTTGGCCTGTGAACCCGGGCACCTGTGCCACCATCAATAGCTACAAAATATATTCATTGAATATGCTCAACAGAGAGAGAGAGAGAGAGAGGAGAGTCTATTATAAATTGTAACCTCGGGCTTGTTATGGATAAAAAACAATCAGGCTGCCACCACACATGGCTCCAACCAACCCCAAAACCCCTTGGCAGCTCCACTCCTGATTTCTTCTTTGATTTAACATATGGCTCGAGCTCCCCCCCCACCCGAAAATCTCTTCCCTGTGGCTCCTGTGTGGCGGGCTCCCCTCCAATCGATTGCACAATTTTTCGCATTGTCGCCCGCTTTGTCCAAGCAACCGGCGGCTACTTGGCCGCGCCCATATCGTGTCCAAGCCATGCCCAGGGCCTGCATATGAAATGATATTCACACACCGCACAACACCCCCCCATGAGATGATTTTCCTGCTGTGGCAATATTTACTCTCCAAATATTATTCGCGCATATGAGGACTTGAGGACGTAATCCATAATTGGTTTGACCGTTTGCAATAAGTGAAAATTGAGTCAGGGATTGACACAGCGACAAAACGAGGGAAAGGAAAGCAAGTCACAGCAAAGGATTATAGCTGAAGGATAGCTTTGATATTGATTGGATTTTTTTTATCGATTTTCGCCCAAAACTCTGCCATTTCCAATCACAAATCTCTCGCCCATTCATCACGCCCAAATGGCACTCAACTAACCGCAAGTCAAATCCCTAAATCATCTGGCCTAATGCTCTTCAAATTAGTGGAACATTTGTCAGATCAGTGCCCCATGCCCCATGCCCCATCCAATTCAGCTACCCTCCCAATATGAATCATTCTGCCTAATGAATGTGTCTGTCACTTGCTGTCAACACGTTTGCCGAGGCCCCCACAAAACCATGGATACCGATCCAGGGATCTCCATAACGCAGGGGCAGGGGCAGGGGCAGGGGCAGGGACAGGGCCCTCTTGCTCACTCCCAAATATGAAATGGAGCGCCTCGAAATCTCATCTGCTGCTGCCTCGCGCTATATTTAATACAGAGTGACATTAATGTCAGGCATAATTAGTCGTGGAAACGCCAGCGGAAAAGGCAACAGCAACAACAAACCAAAGGAAAAAAGAAAGAAAAGAAAAACAACAAAAAAATTGTAGAAAAAGAAACAATCAAAAAACGATAAACGCGGCAACCAGAAATAATTTGACAGCCCGCCCAGCCATGGAGATTGAGATTGAGAGAGGGAGAGAGAGAGAGACACTGGGGATGTCTGCTGGCTGGTAGGATCATCCGATGATGATCATTTTGTTATTGCAGCTTTTACCCGATTTGATTCATTTTTTTGGTACGTGTGTGAACCCAATTGATCTATGTACGTATCAAATATACGACCTGGCCATGGCCTTTTGTCTGCTCTGTGCTGCTGTTGCCAATTCGTAAACAAACAAAATTATCCAACAAAAGCAGCTACTGCCCCAGCCCCGGGGCAGAGATCTGCTTTAGACACCTTCCCAAAAAGAATGGGAACAATGGGAACTCCTCGAGCACGGTGGCATCCATCTAGCGTCAGCCAGCAGCTACCAAAAATCCTCCATGCAATTGTCTGCCTCGGGGCTAATCCCCGCCTGCGGCTTCGGCGCAGACAACTCAATGTGGAACTCCCCGTAGGACCCGCTACAGTTGCGGATTGCGATGCGCTTGGATTGATCTACGATCTGTTCTCTTTGTAGCTGTAATACCAAACCCCTATGGGAAGGGGGTCTTCTGTTTTTGCTCTGCTAAAAAACAGCCAGCACATTTTTATTCGCCTTCTTTTTTTAACATTTTCTTTTGCTTTTTTATTGCAGTGTTGACGCTTTTTCACACAGAGTACGGGCGGCGCGTGGTTTGCTATATAAAAAGGGGAAACGGATAAAAGATATGGGAGCAGCGAGAGTGTTGTTTATATTGAGCGCAGATCTACGATAGCCTGCGCACAGTGGTTGTGGCAATCAAATAAAAATGCAAAACAAAATGTGCAAGCAGAGTGGCTTCTCCTGGCACAACTCTTCCATCTCAGATGTGATATTTGAAAGTTCTTTTGCCATAAAACAGCATCAAGTTGCAGGCCCCACTGTGCAGACTGCCTACGCGGTAGCCACAGCTCGTGGCAGCCACATGAAAAACGGCGTCTGCAGTTGCGTTCGGCTGAGATCAAAGGCAAAGAGTGGCAAGAAGGCGGCCTGCAAAACGGTTAAATCTTTTGAAATGTGCGCACTTTTTGACACCCAATTTGTTTAGAAGTGTGCGCCACAGCCTGCAAGAAGGGGGGTGCCAGAGGGGAGCATAGCCTCTACTCAAGCAGTTCATAAAAACGGGCCAACAGATAAAGATAGATAGAGGGAGAGACAGAGAGAGAGAGAGAGAGAGCTTGCAGGTTTTTCTGCGAATTTCATTAATAAAACTGTCGAAAGTGGCTGCCACACCCGCCTGCCCCAGCCCAACAGGTAGAACAATCAAACGAAAACTTTTGTCTGATTTGGCATTTTTTTTTTAAATAAAAATTCAAAAGATTTACACCTACTGCCTCCGCCTGCTCGCCGTAATTCCACTTAAAATTTCTGTATTAAGAACAATATCCATGGGGTTCAAGGGGAGCTATGAGGCAGCTGTGGGGGGAGCGCGCACTTCTACACCACTTTAGTTTTTCATTCATAAAAGCAAAACGCTTAATTAAGAATTTTTCCAGTTACAAATGTGTGGCGGAGGTGCGGAGGGTAACAAAAAGTGGGATAATAATAAGTTTATTGATTTGGGAAATGCCACAAAAACAAAAACCGGATGTTTATACGGTGCACACATCATGATCATCATCATCAGCAGCAATCATCAACTGGCAGATTGGAAGGGAACGATCTTTTGGGCTAAGAAACGTGTGAAATGTGCGGGCGCGGGAGCGGGAGCGAAGGATTAGACCGGTACCGGAAGGTACTGCTGCTGCTGCCATTTCTGGTTTGTCGTTTGCCATTTTCCCCAATTTTCGCAGCAGCTCAGTAACTGGGCAGCAAGTTGGTAAGTCAATCCACCGCTTAGCCATGCAAGCAACGGAAATTCCCTTGGCCAAAGTCAAAACATGCGGCCAAGTTGGGAAAATGCCAGAGAGGGCTGGATTTATTTGTACAAAATGACTTTGCAAATGAGATTCGAATTCATATTCATATACGGCTGCACATTCAGGCCTGTCCTGGATCAATGTGTCAATATTATTATGGGCCAGGGATTCAGACGTCTATGCAAACAGACGAACCGAGCCTCGGACTACCTGCTGCGACTGATGTACATGCATCTCTCCATGTCGTAGGTGTGCATATTTCTGTTAATTTTCAACACCTTCGGCACTCGAAGTTGTCCGATGCTCGCAACGTGACCTGCGGCCTCGGGGCTGGATTTGGATTTGGATTTGGTTTTGGTTTTCTTCGTTTATGAATGGATGTCCACAACCTGCCAAGGGCCACATGTACTCATAATCGATGTGATTAGGCCGTGCCGTGGGCCCCCAAAAGACCCCATAGAGAGCGCAGTCAAACGAGCAGCACAGCCAGGGAATTCGTTGACGTATTTGGACAGCCACTGACAAGCGGGCAAGCAGAACCTGAAGCAAAGAGCAACAAACCCAAAGGCAGAAGTTTCAATGCTCTTTCTCAGTGTAGAAGTTGTAGCTGGAGTAAGCCGAGATCATCAAGTGTAGGTACCCACACAGCGTAGGGTATATTGTGGACCTGGTCCAGAAATAACTACATGACTTGGCAAGAAATGATTGTGTTGGCCAGCACAGAGCCCAAGAGTTAGAGAAGGAAATGAGCTGCACTTAAATGCATGCGAGAAAACCACTCGATAAGCCCAACAAGTGGATAAGAAGCCACCAGAGCACACCATGCCACACAAATGATGCCCAAACGAACTATCAATGTCAGTGAATTGGCAAAAAAATGTTAAACTCAATTTGTATGCAAGGAGGAAACCCTTTACTTGACACACCTCAACAACCGAACGGTTCAAGTGTACCAACACATGCATGCAAGCAGCGTCTGCCGCAGCATTAATGTGTGTGTGTCCATGTGTGTCCACGTGTGTGTGTGTGTGTGAACACCCAGTCGGATTGGGGTAAGCCGCTAAAGCATGCGTAACAATGGGACAGCGATCGCAGCGATCGTTAAGGAGGAGCACAGCAATGAGGCAGCACATTTCGAGCAGGGTGGACGGACGCTCCATTCATTGATCGTTGCATGGCTCCAAATGAAGTGCTCGACAGGATAGGGATCGGAGCATATGTAGATATGTTTCTTCGATGATTACTCTGTATTAATTTATTCTCTTCGTGTATGTGTGTGTGTGTGTGTGTGTGCCCATCAACTTGATCATACTTAAGCCTAAATACAATGCAAAGCGCTGACATTAGTTCGTATCTGCAGCCAACATTTTTGTTTTGTTAATCAATTATATCAATATACAGGGTGCGTAAATATTAAAGTACACAAGAAAATGCATAAAATATAATAAGAATAAGAATAAGAATAAGAGTATAATATAAATTTTGAATGTTTGTAAAGCGAACAAAAACATATGCGCACGTGCCGATTCACGGTGTGAATACTTCCTTCTAATACGTGCCCGGCACTCTCCCTCCAGCCCAAAGTGGAAGTTGATTTAAGGTAAGCCACAAATACGGCTAGGGTGGGGGCCTGCTTGGCGGCAACTTTTCTCCTTTCACAACAATTATCTAGTTTGGTTTTATGTTGAATAATTCGCATTGGCCTTCAGTTTGCTTTAATTCTTGAACTGAAAGACGAGTATCAAGATGATGGCCAGCAGAACGGCGCTCAGTATGCCCATCAGTATCAGCTTCTTCTTGCGTACTTTGTTCTGCAAAAAGAGAGAATAGGATTATAAATAATAATGGAGATCCCTGGCATCATGGTTCATCCACTCACCCTATAAGAACTCGCTTTGCGCAAATTCTCTGTACCCTGTGAGACGAAAATGCTGGTCTGCTCCACCTGCGACTCAATGGAGTCCACCGTGAGTCCCTGCTCGTAGACCAAGGCACCCAGCTTCTTGTAGATCTCATTGACACCCACAATATTATTCTCCAATTCTCGTATGACCTGCTCCTGCTCCTCCAGCGCCTGCAGGTCCGCCTGCTCCTGCATCTGTGTCTGCTGCAGCTGCTGCTGCTGATTGGATTTTCGATTAAAGAAATTATCCTCGAAGAAGGAACCGTTCTCCTGGCTGGCGCTGCTGTTGGAGCTGCCAGTGCGCGAGGAGCCGGGCGGACGGGCTATGTTATAGTTGTCTCCCCGCGCCTGCCGCAGAGCACTCTTCTCAATGTCCGCCGTCTTCCGTTGGACGGCCTATAATTAGACAAACAAATCGCAATTGAGATAACAAATTCGAGACATGACTCATGCAAGACTTTTGCTTATCTCTTGGCGTAAACAAAGCAAAGCCACGCACGAACCTGGAAGGAGGTGAGTGCCGCTGTGAACTCGTCGACCAGTCGATCCCGCTGGATTTTCAGGTGCCGCTCCTTGCACTTGTCCACCTCATTGATTTGATTGTTTGTATCGTTCACCAGCTGGTTGGTGTAGGTCATGAGTTGGTGCCTGTACGGAGGAGGCATTTTAATCTCTCAGTTTCTGATCATTTGATAACTTTGACCCGGCACACTCGTACTTACAGCTGTTTCTTCAACTCGGGGGAGTCCTGTGGTGTATTTAGCTGACTAACCATGCGCTGCATGGTCGAAACTGAAAGAGGGGAAAGTACGCGTATTAGTCATCATTAGTTGGGCACGTTCTGTGTACTACTTTACCATTTTGTTGAACTTTCAGAATGCTGGTGGCGATTATCTGCGCCAGACGCTGAAAGTCTATCTCGCTGAGGCCACCCCCTCCGCCCCCGCCACCACCCAGTCCTCCACCATTCTCCATATGCTGCAAGTCCATGCTTTCGTAGGCCGACACTTTGCTGACCTTCAACTTTTACGTGGCACACAAGAATCAGCTGCTGCACTTTCCTGCAAATCAATTGGTACACAATTAAATTAGCTTCGTTCGTGGCTCAACACTTATATCATGAATATGCGTCTCAGGTGGGAGGCTCTCTCTCTCTCTCTCTGTGTGTTTGTGTGTTGTTTGCGAAAGTGTCGCAGTCGCCCTTTGTTTTCATGCCACCCACTTTTTGGTTTGCCCTTGCTGTTCCGCGTGGTGACCTTCGTTGTTGGTCTTTTACTTTAACGCATCATTGATCACTGGATTTTACTGTTGCCGCACAATCTTCGTTTTGTTATTTGTTGGCCAGTAGAACTATGAAAATGCAATTTTGCTACAAACTTTTTTACAACAGAGATAAATATACAATCAATATATCGATAAGTGATGATATATTTGTGTGCGATGGTTGATTATTGGATCGAAAATTATGAATATTTAAGGGCTGCATAAAAGTAGTATTTACGAAAATGTTCAACACTGCCAGTGAAACAGTGACTTGGCGCACTTTTCAAACCACACGAAATTACTTTATAAACAATAATAAACAGACAAGTACTTGTTTTGTTACAACCTGTTTCTAAGACATAAAAGTCACCTTCGTCATTCAACAATTAATAATGCAATAAAAAGCACAAATATATTAAGAGACAGCCTGAACGGCTTTCCGTCATAAAGGTCAACGAACCCATTAATAAATTAACCAAAAAACCGGATAATCTATTACGTCTAATTAGGTTTTAAAAAATGTCTCCAGCAGCATTCCCGATATTTGTATTAATTATTCAAATGCAATGCAATAATCTTTCCCATCCATCTCTTGTTTTAACGATCCAATTTTAATGATATGCAAGCTGGCAATGCAGCGACATCGAACCTGATTGGGAGACTCTCAAGTCTGTGTGCATCGCAGCTAATTTAAATAAGGGCATTAAAGCGGATGACATTTAAATAGCTGAAATACCTGCAGGGAAAATTCTAATTAGAACGTTCCTAAAGCAGAGGCGGGCTTAAATTTATTATCCCCTGCGTATATCGGTGATTTGTGTCGCCCTAAAAATGTGTGTGTTTCTGTCGTTGGTTTTTTGGGGCTGCTCTTTTCGAGAGTTCTATAAATACGCATCCAGTTAACAAATGCGGTTTAGTCGGCCCGTAGACCTGCCAAAGGGTTTGTCACACGCTCTCGGACTCAATTCACGCAATCGGATCGGAACACTCGAAAGTTCATCAAAATTCTGACAACGATGCCTGGCTTTTGGTTAGCGTTCGTTTTCCACTTTGTTTTCTGCCATTGTCAGTACAAATATGGGCCAGGTGCGTGATGTTTTAACGGGTTTGGGCCATAAAGTATGCCCAAGATACAAGTGAGAGTGTGACAGAAAGTAAACACAAAACACATGCCACAGAAAAAGAGATTAATCAAGTGTTAAACGAATTTAAAAGAATAAATAAATATCAAATAATTCAATTAAATAGAATGACGACAATCCCAGCTCCAACTCTCTTTCAGAGCGCGCCTGGAACCTCCGCTCCGTGGCGGAGCTGAAGAGCAAGGAGTTCTGGTTCCACGACGCACAGCGCACACTCTACGAGAAGCTGTCGACGCCACCGAATCAGTATGTGGCCAAGAATGTGATCATGTTCCTGGGCGATGGCATGTCCGTGCCCACCGTCACCGCCAGTCGCATCTTTGATGGCCAATTGCGTGGAGTTGTGGGCGAACGGAATCGTTTGGAGTTTGAAAAGTTCAATTTTGTGGGACTCTCAAAGGTGCGCAGCTACACAACCCATCCGAAAAGCATTTGTTTAATTTTCCCCTGCCTTTGCAGACGTACTGCGCGAACAAACAGGTCGCCGACTCGGCATGCACGGCCTCAGCCTATTTGTCGGGCATCAAAGCCAATTATCTGACCATTGGCGTCACGCCCGACGTGCAGCTGAATGACTGTGCTGGGGCCAGGCTGCCGCAGAATCGTCTCTCCTCGCTTGCCGCCTGGGCGCTGAAGGGTCGCAAGTCTGCGGGCGTCGTGACCACCACGAGGGTAACGCATGCCAGTCCCGCTGGGGTGTATGCCCACACCTCGAATCGGGACTTTGAGAGCGACTTTGATGTGAATTCCTTTGGGGAAAATGCCAGCAAGTGTCCGGACATTGCCCAGCAGCTGATAGATGGGGATGTGGGGCAACGTCTGCGAGTGATCCTGGGCGGCGGCACCTCGAAGTTCCTGCCCAACACACAGAAGGATGTGTATGGCAACCCAGGGCAGCGTTTGGATGGCCGAAACCTCATCGAGGAGTGGCAGAGGAGCAAGCCAGGCAATGCCCGAGTGGTCTTCAATCGCACCGATCTCCTGGCCAACGATGCGAGGAGTACAGACTTCCTTTTTGGACTGTTCAATGCCTCGCACATGGCCTACCACTTGGACGACAGCATAGACACTCCCACGCTGTCGGAGATGACGGAGTCCGCCATCAATATCCTTTCCAGGGATCATGGTGGATATTTTCTGTTTGTCGAGGGCGGTCGCATCGACCACGCCCATCATGAGACCAAGGCCAAGAAGGCCCTCGATGAAACTGTGCAGTTCTCGAATGCCATTAAGAAGGCTCGCCTCCTGACGAATCCTTGGGACACTTTGATAGTCGTCACCGCCGACCACGGGCACACGGTGACAATCAGCGGCTATCCGGATGTGAACAACAGCATTGCCGGTCTGAACTCAGAGCTAAGCGATGTGGACTCAAAGCCCTACGCCACTCTGTCCTACGCCAATGGGCCGGACTATCAAAAGTTCTATCAATCGAAGGATGGCGTCGTGGAACGCGTTAATCTCACAACGTCGAACATTGGGGACAAGGATGCGCGTTATCCCCACGGTGTGCCCATGACGGAGGAGACACATGGTGGCGGCGATGTGGCCGTTTATGCTCACGGTAAGCTGCAGTAACTGTAAATATAACTTTCATGAATCATTTCACACTTTCAGGTCCTTGGGCGCATTTGTTTACCGGCGTTTATGAACAAAATACCATACCATTCATGATGGGATATGCCTCTTGCCTTGGGCCTGGAATTACATACTGTGATCTCCAGCCCAAAGTGTCCTACAATCCATAATTTATAGTAAAATATGTTAATTTAAGTTAATAAATGTTCGCTGTTTTAAGTGCTGTATAACTGTAAAGAAACTAGGGCTGCTAGCTAATCGATGATTGTTCCAACGATATATCGACATTTGCAACGCACACCTCGACAATAATTTGGTTTACTGTAATAAGTAGTACATGACATTATACTCAAAATAATATTTTCCTAATAAATATTTATTTACTGGAACCTGTAACGATTTCTACAATCTCAATCGATACTATTGAAGAACCATCGCATCAATGTTTTAGCAGCCCTGTCAGAGACGGTCACTCTACGCATCTCCGCCATTTTTAGCGTAGCTGCTGCTGAAAATTTTCGCAAAGAAAAAAAGTTGTGTATACATAAGTAGAATGTAAATTTTTGTGCGAAGAATACACTGACACGGTGAAAAGCAAAGCAATTAACAAGTTAATTGCCGCTAAGCGAGATAATCAGCGCTAGTGCGAGTAAAAGTGCCGCGCGCCGGTGGCTGCTCCGGCTTGAACAGACAACTGCTACGAAGCGCGTGTGCGAGAAAGTGGAAAAGTGCAGCAAACACTGAAGAGGAACTAGGTCGAAATCAAATTAGGCTCAGCTCGTGGCAACCATGGCCGATGTGGTCTTGGACTTGTACGCCGAGGACCTGGACAAGGACTTTGCCGGCCAGTCTCAGGTAAGAGGTGACGAAAGTCGATTCGATTCGACGGCTGGCGTGCTGGCTAGTTGCGTGCATGTACACATTTTCATCGATTTGGTCACACTAACGCTCAATGAACCCCCCATCACACTTTCGCGACCCAACTCTAGGACGAATTCGGAGGCGACGGCGTTGATCTCTACGATGACATTGGCGGACCCACCGAGGCGGCTGCCTCTGGGGGCGGAGGGGGTGGCACACCCTCGGTGGATGGTGCAGCCGGACCAGGCTCAGGCGACTCTGCGTCGAGCGGTGGTGGCGGTCCCAACGGAGTGTACCATCAGGGCGGTGGTAGCTTAACTCCAACCATGAACCGTCGCTACCAGCTATACGTGGGGAATCTCACATGGTGGACAACGGACCAGGACATCTCCAATGCACTGCGGGAGATTGGCGTCAACGACTTGCAGGAGGTGAAGTTCTTTGAGAATCGTGCAAATGGACAGTCCAAAGGTTTCAGCGTCATATCTCTGGGCACGGAATCCAGCTTGAGAGCCGTCTTGGATCAACTGCCAAAGAAGGAGATGCACGGTCAGGCCCCGGTGGTCACGTATCCCAGCAAGCAAGCGCTCACGCAATTCGAGAGTCTGCAGAAGACGAGACCAGTGCCGCCGCCGCAGCAGAATGGTCCGCCACGCGGTCCAGCGCCACCCAACATGGGTGGTGGCCCAATGCCGCCACATCCAGGTGGCCCACAAGGCGGTCCGCCCGGTCATCCGCCACGCGGCATGAACCCTATCATGGCGCCAGGCCAGTACCGACCGCAGCATATGTCGCAAGTCCCGCAAGTAGGACCCAATAACGGACCTCCGCGAATGCAGGTGTGTGTTTACACTTTTATTTTTGTATAGCAACTCTTCCTTCGCATGCTCTCTCCCTCTCTGTCACTCCTCTTATAAGTTTCGGTATTAACCAACGCCATCTACATTTTATGATTGATACCTCCTCCACCCTACCCTACTCCCAATTCTCATTAAAATTGTTCTGAATGCAAAATTTTGTTGATTCTGTGAAACTTTACAATAAAATATATTTTAAATTTGTATATTTAGTTTATAACAACATCCTCCGCGGATCTCTTGCACTTTAAAGTAGTTTAAATCGATGCAAAAACCAATTGCATAATTGTATTGTTTATGATTTTAAGTATCGTATCTTTAATAGTAAATCCTTTCGGTTTAGTTACAACTAATTTCAGAGCAATTTTTGCAAAACATTTCCTATTCTATATTGTTTTTTGTACCTATCTCCTAATACATAATACTCCTTTTAGTTGTATGAAAAATAAGCTCAAAATTGTAACTCGAATGAAGGACTTTATCCTCTGTGTTTTTCCATCCTTTTGAAATTGTATTCATTCCTCAATGAAGTGATGCCATAATTTAATGTTTATGTATTATGCTTTATATTTATATTCTATTCCATGTCTATGACAACGCTTACGCACACTTCCACTCCACAACAACAACAACAACAACATTGAACGTAATTTAACGTATTAATTTATAGCCGCCAATGCATCCGCAGGGCGGTCTCATGGGCAACCAACAGCCGCCACCCAGATATCCACAAGCACAGGGCCAATGGCCAGGTCAGAGGCCGGGCGGGCCGCGACCAGGTCCACCAAACGGACCACCGCAACGACCAATGGTAAAGCAAATCCCTAACCGAAAAAATGATCAAAGAAAATGAGAGCAAAAATCCATAAACTCATGTGTCGAAAATCTAACAGAAGAACCTTCCCCCAAGAACTAACAATTATTTAAGCTAACTTTAGAGCACGGCATTGTATGTACTGCGCCGCATAAGAGATGTATTCAGAACATTCAGAAATAATTCCATGCTACACCCAATGCCCATTCAGCCATTCCTCAGACTTTTCCTTTGCTTCTTGCATCGTTTCTGATTCGTTTTATTTTGCCGTTGCAGTTCCAGGGACCCATGGGTATGCCTGTGAGGGGTCCGCCAGGTCCCGACTGGCGACGTCCGCCCATGCACGGCGGCTTCCCGCCTCAGGGTCCGCCGCGTGGTCTTCCCCAAGCGCCGGGCCCAGGCGGACCGCATGGCGCACCTGCACCACATGTGAATCCAGCTTTCTTCAACCAGCCCGGCGGTCCGAATCAGCATCCGGGCATGGGCGGACCACCACATGGCGGTCCAGGTGGGCCACAGCCAGGCATGAATATGCCACCGCAACAGGGCATGAATATGCCACCGCAGCACGGTCCACCGCCGCAGTTTGCACAGCATGGACCACGCGGTCCATGGCCACCACCGCAGGGCAAGCCGCCAGGGCCGTTCCCCGATCCGCAAATGGGCCCACAGCTAACGGAGGCTGAGTTCGAGGAGGTGATGAGCAGAAATCGCACCGTCAGCAGTTCAGCAATAGCCAGGTGGGTTTCTATCACCCAAAATCTCGTTCAATTATTGTAATTTAATTGCTGTTTTATATTAGAGCTGTATCTGATGCCGCAGCCGGCGAATACTCCAGCGCCATTGAGACACTGGTCACAGCCATTTCGCTGATTAAACAATCGAAAGTGGCACACGATGAGCGTTGCAAGATACTAATTAGCTCACTGCAGGACACACTGCACGGCATCGAGGCGAAGAGCTACAATCGACGGGAGCGTTCGCGCTCCAGGGAGCGTTCCCATCGCAGCAGGCAGAGGCGTGAACGCTCATCCTCGCGGTATCGCGAACGGTCACGCGAACGGGAGCGTGATCGGGATCGCGAGCGTGAACGTGATGGCGGGTGAGCACGAGCTGGATAATGCAATCTTTTGCCAGCCAAAAATATAATGAAATTTATGTTTATTTCCAGCAGCTATCGCGAGCGGTCGCGCAGCAGAGAACGTGAACGTCAGGCTCAAGATCACTACAGGGATGAAAGGTAATGTAAAAACCGAAAGTTTTAGGCGTCAGCTTTAATGGCATCAAATCACATTGCTTGCAGCAGCAGTCGCTCGGCTCGTCCAAGGAAGTCGCCCGAGCCCGTTGTGGCGGAAGCAGCTGAGGCGCCGTCATCGAAACGCTACTATGAGGATCGGGAGCGGTATCGCTCATCGGATAGGGAGCGTCGTGATCGCGATCGGGATCGTGATCGTGAGAGGGAGCGTGATCGTGACAGGCGGGAGGAGCATCGGTCCAGGCATTGATTGCTGGAGGAAGAGCGGCCAGTAAAAAGGAGGAAAAAGTAACACACACATACACACGCAAAACTCTTATTAACAAAACAAATAATGCCGCACGCTTTGGTGGAGTGGGTCAGTAGCCAGTGGCCGGCCGGCTGCACAAGCTATACAAATTAACAGATTCTTCAATTTGTATCTAACATTACCAATACGTAGGATATGAATATGGCATATAACATAGTTTCTCCTAGACATACTAAACAATAAGCCGATATGCTGACAAGCCTACACCAATACCACCAATGACGCAAGGACTGTCTCTACGAGCCTTCCACTTCCTCGAGGAGGAGCATCCACAGCAGCAACACCAACAGCAGCAGCAGCAGCTAGAGCAGAGGATGCGCTTTCGGCAGTCATCGTGGGACACTTTTACGACACAGACGGGCAATGGGAATGGGATGATCATCACACAAACTAATACTTCAACCTGCCCCCTGCCCTCTTCGCAGCAGAATTTCAATATTATTGTACTCTAATATTTCGGTTTATTTAATAAAACATATACTTATGAAAACAAAACAAAAAAAATAATAATTGTTCGACGAAACCTTACCAAAACTGTCTTGCATTGTGTGTCTTTTTGTATTTTATTATATAGTACCTATAAATATTTAAAGAAAAAACAAAACAAAAAAACCCACCAATAACCCCTATTAGTTAATGAAGTTATAATTGTACAACCAAAATTGTATGTAAAATATGCCAAAATTGATTGAATTGCATTGCACTGCTGTGTGCAATTTGTTATTGAAATTGTTATATTAACAAAATCATAATTTCTGAGGCCGACTGAGGCCAGCAACACAAATCGTTAACTTAAATGTATTTTCACAAAGATTTTCATAGATTCTTCTGTTGTAAACATTCATCAATCATTTGTTTTTAAAATTGTTTTTATTTATCATGTCATATTATATATTTAAGTCGATCATTTTGCCGTGTGCCTCTGTCTCCGAAAGTGTGTGAATGGAGCGACTGATCTCATCTGCCGCACAAATTGCGGAACCCTATTGAATATCATGTTTATATAAGTATAAGTTGGATGGAGATGGATGGATATAAGACTAAATTACTCTATAAACGAAATTCCTGATCGCATTTAGCGTAGAAAATACTCTACTAACGCTCAAATCGAACTTTTTTATGTAGTTCCTAACAACAGATCTGTGTTAAGCATCTGTCTAGCATTTTGCATTCGTATTGTATCATCTACGTTTTAGTTTTTGATATTATTAGCTTTACTTTTTATTATTTTATTTTCGACATATACATTTTGTAAACAAATATTCAACTAAGATATATTCATGCCGCACTAACCCCTAGTTACAAAACCAAAGAATTTGCCACCTCTGTTAACCAGAAAGTTAGGTTTACCAGTTCGATGCACCTGTAACTCTCCACCAGGGAGAGGCCTAGGTTATAGGGCTTCAAATATTACGAGCTTAACTGCAGAAATTAATCGATGTCTTGTACAATTCTTAAATCTGTGATAGTGATCTTGAATGAAATCTATGAAACATTTATACAAAACGAACACTCAGTCTATTAAGTCATGTTTAAACAACCAGGTAATGTTATACTTCTACTTCTACACCATGATGTTGTGTATATACGTACGGATATATCCCTTCTTTTATTATATTTATCTAGTTTGTAATCTTGCTCAACGTTCCGTCCCCCCCAATGGCCAAGTCAAGCATTTCGCAGCTATGTCGGATCAGTTTTTAAGACAACACAAGATGCCCTGCAATATTTTATAGTTAACAAATATACCGCCGTGTTTTGTTTTTCAAAATAATGTATCATTGACTTTTTTGAATTTGCCGCCAAGTGAACAAAAAATCAATAAAGCAATTAAACAAAGTTAAGGCGCACGCGTCATCTGTTTGCTCTGCCCCACTGGAACTTTCCAACAAATCGCAACGTTAACCAACACTGATTCTAGAAATCACTGAAAACACGTAAAATTTTGTGAAATACAGAAAAAGAAAACAAGTAGGCGTGCGACAACCAACTAACTAAGACTCACAAAGCAGTTTGCCAGTGAACAACTCAGATTCACTCCTCCGTTTGAAAAATTAACAAGATCTGAAAACTAAACAGCAAGTGAAAAAAATTTATCAAAAATGGCAGCAGCAACAGCACAGAAAATAAACGAACGTTTTCAGTCGTTTGTCCATGGCCTCAACGATCGCTAGTAAGTTATCTTTTTATTTACCTAATGGACAAGGGCAAGCGGCGGCGGGTGCATGTGCACTTGGCCCAGAGTCTCGGGTCCACAAATTGTAATTGTTTTGGGTTGCGCTGCGTCATGGGGGGGATGGACCAATTGCAGATGGAACTGACGTGTTGTTTTGGTATTGAACCACATCAACAGTTGGTCGCGTTCGCCAACGAATCGATTGTCCTTGAAACTAACGTTCCGTGTCTTTGTCCACCTCCTCTTTCCAGTGAGCCGCATGTGCGCCAGCACCTGGCCAAAGTCTACATGGTGTTGGGCAGCACCGCAGCCGCAACCACTGTGGGTGCCCTCTGCCAGATGCGCGGTTTTCTAGATCTCGGCGTGTTGGCTGCCTTGGGCACGCTATTTCTGGTATTGGGGCTGCATTTCTACAAGGATAATGGCAAGAATTATCGCACACGTTTGACCATGCTCTATGCCTTTGGATTTCTCTCTGGCCAGACAATGGGACCGCTGCTGGGCTACGTCAGCCACATCAATCCGGCCATTATTATCACCGCACTCACTGGCACCTTTGTCACCTTTCTATCGCTGTCGCTGGCCGCTCTCTTGGCCGAGCAGGGCAAGTATTTGTTCCTCGGCGGAATACTAGTCAGCGTTGTCAACACCATGGCCCTATTGAGTCTCTTCAACATGCTATTCCAGTCGTATATAGTGCAAGTGGTAAGTAAACGAAAGAATCTCCTCTGTGGCTGCCAACTAAATCGCATAATTTCTCCTCTCAGACTCAACTGTATGTGGGTGTCTTCGTCATGGCCGCTTTCATTGTCTACGATACCCAGAACATTGTACAGAAGTGCCGCCATGGCAATCGCGATGTCGTACAGCATGCCCTGGATCTCTTCTTTGACGTATTGAGCATGTTCCGCCGTCTGCTCATAATCTTGACCCAGAAGGTAAGCTACTGCATTCTTTTGGTTTTACTTTGAAGTTGCTACAGCCTGCAAGCCACTGTCCCACAGCTCAAGCCCTTTATGGTTTAAGCATCAAGCATATCCCAAGGCCGAACACTTTGCAATAGTTTTTAACCAAGTCAAATAATCTCTTAAGATTAAGATTAACCAAATTCAAACGGTATTTCATGCCTGTAATTATATTTTCACAATTTCCAGCTGGCAACCAAAGTTTTCCAACACTTTTTATATATTTTGACAAAACATTTGCAAAGTTTTCTGGCTGGCTGTTTGTGAAATTATACTTATGCGCTTTGCTCTATCTTATTTGCTATAATCAATTTACTTAATAATTGAATTACTTTCAGGAGGAGCGCAAGCAAGACGAGCGCCGCAGGAGGAACTAAGGTCAGGCGGTAGCAGCATTAAATACCAAAAAAAAAAAACATAAACAAACATAAACAAACCAACAGCAGATACATTTACATTATGTACACTACAACAAAACTGATTACGTTAGAAAATTACCCCCCTTATTTTCAAAGAACTTATGGCCGTGCATTTTCGGACCTTAAATTACAACAACACATTCAAGGCCTTCATTGTGCAAAAGCCCAGGCTAAAAATTCTCTATTTAAATAAAGCCCGCAAGTTAAAGACAAAAACTCATCAAAGTATTGTGCCATAAATAGTGAATTAATAACAATGATAATATCGATTGGTGTGGAGTGGGGCAACAATTTAATTAGGCTAAGTGCATCGACAATGTCCAGACTCGGTGGCAGAAGTTGCTCAGTCGAGTGTCAACATGCCGCAGGTGCAGTCGGAGAGTTCGTCGGAAAGTGCGGTTCAGCCTTTGCTGCAGCAATTTCAGCTGCTGTTTTACATATCCAAAATTGCTGGTATACTGCCGCAGGATCTGGAGAAGTTTCGCACCAAGAATGTGCTGGAGAAGTCTCGCAATGGCATGGTCTACATGCTGGCCATGCTGATTGTGTATGTGCTGCTTTACAATGTTCTCATTTACTCGTTCGGGGAGGAGGATCGCACACTCAAGGCCTCGCAGAGTCAGTAGAGCATGACGTGGGGTGTGGGCAGCATTCAAGCTTCATTCATTCCTTCCATCCAACAGGCACCTTGACCTTTGTTATTGGTCTATTTCTCACCTACATTGGCCTCATTATGATGGGCACGGACCAGTTGACAGCCTTGCGTAATCAGGGCAGGATTGGGGAGCTCTACGAGCGCATACGGCAGGTGGATGAGCGTTTGTACAGGGAAAAGTGTGTGGTGGACAACAGTCGTATTGGGGGACGCATTCGTTTTATGCTCATCATGACGTTCCTCTTTGAGCTCTCCATTTTGTTGGCCACGTACATCAAGCTCGTGGATTACACCCAATGGATGTCTGTGCTGTGGATTGTCTCGGCCATTCCCACGTTCATCAATACGCTGGACAAGATCTGGTTTGCTGTATCGCTCTACGCGCTGAAGGAACGCTTTGAGGCCATCAATCAGACGCTGGAGGAGCTGGTGGCCACCCACGAGAAGTTCAAGCGGTGGCTGTGCGGCGATCAGGAGACCAGCAGCCGTGCGCTGGACAGCTCACAGCCACCGGAGTACGACAGCAATTTGGAGTATCTCTACAAGGAGCTGGGCAGCTTGGACATGGGCTCGCTGAAGGGCTCCGGCAGGAACAAAGTGGCGCCTGGTGGGTGTAAATTTTCCATAATTATATTTGCATTCCGTTGGACCAATTTCTGGTTACAGTTTCCCATTCGATGAACTCTTTTGGTGAATCCATTGAGGCCTCGGACAAGGCCACACATCAAGCTCCTCCGATATCCGTGAATATGGCACACGAGAGCGAGCTGAGCAACGCCTCAAAAGTGGAGGAGAAGCTGAACAATCTGTGTCAGGTGCACGATGAGATCTGTGAGATTGGCAAGGCCATGAATGAGTTGTGGAGCTATCCGATACTCTCGCTGATGGCTTATGGTTTCCTCATATTCACAGCACAGCTTTATTTTCTCTACTGCGCCACACAATTCCAGTCGATACCGTCGCTCTTCCGCTCGGCCAAGAATCCCTTCATCACGGTCATTGCGTTGAGTTATACGTCCGGCAAGTGTGTGTATCTCATCTATCTGAGTTGGAAGACCTCTCTCGCCTCGAAACGCACTGGCATCAGTCTGCACAAGTGCGGCGTAGTTGCGGATGATAATTTGCTCTTTGAGATTGTCAATCATTTGTCGCTGAAGCTGCTCAATCACTCGGTGGACTTCTCCGCCTGCGGCTTCTTCACTCTGGACATGGAAACGTTGTACGGCGTCAGTGGTGGCATCACCAGCTATCTCATCATACTGATTCAATTCAATTTGGCTGCCCAGCAGGCCAAGGAGGCCATTCAGACATTCAATTCGTTGAACGATACCGCCAGCTTGGTGGGCGCTGCCACCGAAGTGGACAATGTTAGCTCCACTCTGTATGATCTGGTGACCACCACCATGCTAACGCCAACGGGTTGAACGTGTTGCTGAGTTGTATTTGGTCTTTTTGCACCTTCCTTCCCGCACTTTTGTTCGCTTTCAGCACCTAATAAATCATCACACTGCAGTCAGGCGTTTGTACTCTGCTTTCGCATCTTCCAGCTCACTGAGCAGATCGTTGAATGTGGCATTGGCTCCATCGTAGTCTAGAATGGCCACGCAAGCGATTTGTGCACGCTTCTGCAGGGCATAGGACAGCTCGCGGCGCACCAGCGGGAAACAGTACGGCACCGTTTGCTGCTGGCAGAGATCCTTCAGGCCTTCAATCGTTTCATCCAGTCCACCTAGAGAAAATATACAACTGATTAGAGGTTGGCCCTGGCATTTCGCTTACGCTCTTACGTTCCCCTGGGCAAATCTCGCAATCGGTGGCTAGGATTAGCAGCTTCACTTTTTGTATGCGCAGCCGGGCCAATGCTTCGCGTATGCCCAGCACAAAGCGCGGATGTGCACGTGCCTTGATTTCGTTTTTGGCATAGGCACGTTGCTGAAAGCGATTCAGATCATTCAGCAGTTGAATGGACAACTGCTTGAGCTGTGGCCGGGTGCAGTTGTCGCAGTAGCTGGAAGGAAAAAAAATTTAAATTTAACACGAAAATATAATCAAGATATTTGTAGGAAACCTTCTGAAGCGTCGGGAATGTATGGAATGTATCTTAGCTGCTAGCTGCTCCTCTTTTTCATCCTCTTGAGTGCAAGTCTCCGTTGCAGCCAGCGACAAGCACTCCAGCTTCTCCGTCAGCTCCTCCTCGCAGTTGGGCCTCTGACCCATGGACATCTTTTGCTTCTTGAGCCTGCGATAGCTGCATATCATCTTCTTCAATCTGGTAACCTTCTCCTTGGGATTAAGGCGCGTTTTTCCTTTGCGCTTTGCCGCATACAAAGGTTTCATGATGGTCAGCTGTGAACGTTTCAGCTTCTTGGCCTTGTTTTGCTTTTGTGTCTGCCGCGACTTGACAACAAAATCGAAGAGCGTGCACTGCAGCTCCTGCTTCTTGTGCTTATTTTTATACTTGGCGCTGCGTGGCAGCCTTGGCGCAGTTTGTGCCACATCCTTTTGTATGTTTTGGAACGTGCTGTGATCAATAATATTCAATTTATCCGAGCGGCGCAGCATTTTTGTAGATTCGTATGCACTAGTGTTGGCTAACGCAGAAAACTCACAGCACACTAATTTAAATTATTTTGTTGTTTATCTTATTATTGCGTTATCTTCTTATTGCTATGAGTGTTTAATACTTAACTAAAAACTCGGTTTGGCTATACAGTTTAGAAACCACAGTCTGATAGGAGCACTACTTAGCTTAAGTAACAAATGGCCTACGGAGTTTAGGAGGTAGGACTATGCTATAACCTTATGCTACGATCTATGGCTATGTGCAGCTCGTTGAACTCCTTGAGATGCTCGAGTATCTGGTCACGCTCGTGCTCGTAGATCTCCCAGTATTTCAGATACTGGCCCACATGCTTGAGCACCAGGCTGCGGGCAAAGTCCAGGCAGCTCCGAACATGCTTCATCCTTCGCCGGCAGCTGGTCAGCACCGAGCGTAGCTGCTGCTCCGGCTCCAGCTGTGCGATGACAAAGGCAAACACGTTCTTTACATTAATCCGGATATTGTTTGGAAACACAACAGACTCGGTGGGACGCGCCTGCGGAAAGACAAACAGCGTGGGGCAGAGCGGCATGGAGAACTCCCACGGCAGATCGTTGGCCTGACTGTCGAAGCGTATAAAGTTTACGCTGGGACTGGTGAGCAGCACCGACACCTGCAGGAATGCCTGTGATAGTACAGCGGACAGAGCGCAGTCTGGACGATACATGAACACCACATTTGTGGCGTTTGGTCGCTGAAGCGCTTGCAGCAGCATTTGGCGGTTGAAGTAGCGATGGAAGGCCGTGTCCGGCGGTGGCTGCGCATTCCTGTACACCTTGGGCAGTGTTTTGGCGTAGAACTGCCGTATAAAGTCCTTGAGGGCTACATACGAGAAGGGATGATCCTGTGGCATGACATGCAGCGCCTCCTCGGCCATGTCCAATATGAAAACCTGCACCGCGGAGGCGTCTCGCTCGTGGGGATGGTGATGCTGATGCTGCTGTATGCCCAGCTGCTGGAGGTAGTCCGCGTACTTAATGGAATCGAAGATCACAACGCCCAGCGATCGATTCTTGGGGAAATCCTCCCCGGAATGTTGCCAGATGAGCTGACTGTACTTGGTCACCATGTTGGCAATGCCAATCTTCATGGCCGGCGTGCCATGGTTGGAGTGCGCGAGGCACAAATTCCGCCGATGAAGCGCTAGGAGTTGACGCGAGTCCGTGCCCTTGCCCACGGACACCTGCAGGTGGTGCTGGTGGGTGTACGTTCGCCAGAGATGATTGAGGTACTTGTTGATGCTGTAATAGTTGGCCAGCGTCGCTGCATTCAGCTGCCAGGCGCTAGGGCAACTCTCTGCATGCTGAGGTGTTTCTGCATAAAGTTCCGCTGGCATTTGCAGCAGCGAATATGACTCCTCCTTGGCATGGCTGTCGTCATTCGTCGTCCAGTAGGAATCACAGCTGTCCGTTTGCTTTTTCAGCGCGCTTGCCATTTCCTTGACCATTACCAGCGGCATGGCACTGGCAGTCTGATGGCTGTGTGGCATCTTTACGCCCATGGCCAGCACGGGCATGTAGCGCGCCTTCAAGGCGATTGTCGTTGGTGTTCCATAACCGTTCGAGAAGAAGGCCAGACTCTTGAGGGTGTGACGAACCCAACGAACGATGTTCAGAGCTCGCCAGTCGCTCGACGATGTGTTGAACGTGTGCACACCATTCCGGCTGTCAATGACCACAAGCTGCGGCAGGGTGACGTCCTCCCCTTTCAGCATGCTCTTTGCACTCTTTCCAAAGTTCAGGGCGAAGCGTATATTCCGCTCGGGATCGAACTCCAGCCAGCAGACAGCGGCCGCCATATAGCGCTTGTATGCGAGACTGTCTGCAGAGTCGAGGAGCGCCAGGACAACGGCATCCGAGTGCTTCCTGAGTCCTGCCAGCTCGAGGCTGGTGTGCACCCGATCGACGGGCTCGATCAGATAGTTCATGAAGCGTGCGAGATCCTCAAAGTTCCAGTCTCCGGAGTACTGCAGAATGTGCCGCTGGTTGTAGCGCACTATCAGTGTGGGCCACTTATCCGGGTAGCCGCCAGCGCCAACCACTCCAGGATTTGGCACGTGGGTGCTGCTGCAGTTGCACTGAAAGTGCCAGCAGTCGACGGCCCCGAAGAACGCGTACTCGTGATAGTAGTGCGCCAGTCCATTGTAGAGCCTCTTGGCCTGCTTTGCCTCACTCGACCAGGACACGTAGTGGAAAATCATCGCGATCTCGAAGTCGGACGCCTCGGCTCGCACTTGTGGCACACTGAGGCCGGGACACTCGACGATGGGCGCCTCCTCGCGCCTCGACGTCTGAGCCTCTGCCAGACGGACGGCGAGGACCAGCAGCACCAGGTTTATAAATAAACTCATTGTTGGCAGAATGCAGCCGGTGTGCTGGCTAATTTAATAATATATAGCGGGCACCATATGATTGGAAATGTGCGAAAACTCTGGCCACACTTCTCAATGTTTACAGCGACCTCTGACGAATGGGGTTTGAGTTAATTATATCAGATTGGATTATTTAGCAATTTATTTAAATAATTGCTCATTTTGCAATGTTGATTAATCATAAATTTAATTGATTTCATTTAAATTCCAACGGATAGTTTTAAGCAAATAGTTCGATAGTCACACCGATGTGTCTCCAGTTTTAGTATCGATACATTCAGGCAAATACAACACTGACCAGCGCATATGCGTTAATTAATCACTTTTACTGTTTACTTTTTTAATATAAACTACGTTAATTAAATTAACAATTGGTGCACCAAGAACCAACTACGACGCGAAAACAAAGTGAAAATCTTCTAGTGTCTGAATAGTCGTCATCGTATGGTTTTGCACCGTGCATCCGTTCCAGCAATCGAAGAAATCGCTGTGAAGTGACCTGAACTTGAATCTTTGGCAATCCAAATAGCAAATTACAAGTGTTTGGTGGAATGCATATGTAAATTCAGAGTATCGGAGCGAGCGCATATATAATTAACAGTTTGGCCTTACACTTTCCAACCACAACAACAAAGCAAAGCAGCAGCGACGGACGACCACACACACACACTCACTCACTTGCTCTCACACTCTCGCCCTCGCACACACACACACGAGCGCACGCACAGTCAGACAGAGTGAGAGAGATAACCTGGTGTGAGGCAATCACCGTCATCGCATCGCATCGCCTCCGTTTGTGTTTCCCCAAACCCAGTCAAGCTTTTGATTTGAAATTTGAAACATACCGAAAAAGCGGAACGGGAACGCATCAACATTGAAATATGGGGCTTTTACTCTCCCGCTTATGGCGAATGTTTGGCAACGAGGAACACAAACTGGTGATGGTGGGCCTGGACAATGCGGGCAAGACGACCATCCTGTACCAGTTCCTGATGAACGAGGTGGTGCACACGAGTCCCACCATCGGCTCCAACGTCGAGGAGGTGGTGTGGCGAAACATACACTTTCTGGTGTGGGATCTGGGCGGTCAGCAGAGTTTAAGGGCCGCCTGGAGCACATACTACACAAACACAGAGCTGGTGATTATGGTCATAGACTCAACGGACCGCGAGCGTCTGGCGGTGACGCGCGAGGAGCTGTATCGCATGCTGCAGCATGAGGACCTGAGCAAGGCCAGCCTACTGGTGTATGCGAACAAGCAGGATCTGAAGGGATCGATGTCAGCGGCCGAAATCTCACGGCAACTGGATCTCACCTCCATCAAGAAGCACCAGTGGCACATCCAGGCGTGTTGTGCGCTCACCGGCGAGGGCCTGTATCAGGGCCTGGAGTGGATCGTTCAGCGCATCAAAAACAAATGACAGGCCACCAATGACCGACTATAGTTAATAATTGTAGAAAAGTAAAACAAATTTGTATGTAAAATGTAAATGTAAAGCCACACAACATAATAATAATAATAATAATAATACTGATAAAGACGATGTAACAGATTTTAAGCGTTGTTCGCCGATTGTTCGAAAAAAAGTTGTTGCCAAGCCAATTTTATTAAGTGTATAAAAAAAAGAGAAGGGGGGGACTTCAATGATAAAAATGATGATACGAGTGGTAGGAGTACGATTAATGATTATGTCTAAGATCTAAGCCAATTAACTACTTCCAATAAAATTACAAAATAAACGAGTTTTATTTCGAAATTGTTTCGTATTCAATTGAATACAGAACTGGACGTTTCCTCGTCGAACATTGCCTTCTAATTGACATTGTTGTGTCGCGATTTGCTCGCTCGTTTGTTTGTTTGTTGATGTGTGAGATTGATTTGTACTCTATCGTCTAAAATAAATACATGGTTGTGTAAAAGGTAGCACATAAATTAAAAAAGGCTTACTGGCAGGCAGCAGCGCCGGTAAGTAACGCGTACAAAAAACAGTTTTAGGTTTAGGTTTAAATATTAGCAAACTAAAATATAAATATATAGCCACACGAACAGTTTGATCACAAAACGTAAAAAGCAAAATAATAAAACAATATCAAAATGGTGCAAGTCTAAGTGAGATTACAGGAGCTGCTGCAACTCTTGAGGGGTTTGCCCTGGCCCAGTGTGATGGTGTTCTCGTCCACAGCCTCCACATTGTTGGCATCGTGCTGGCGCTGCAACACACAGAATATTTTTGCTTTGATCGAAGAAAAGGCAACCCAGAGCTCACCTTCAGTTCGGTGGCCAGACAGCGGAAGGCATCCTCAACATTCATATTCTCCTTGGCGGACGTTTCCATCACAAACAAAATTTCAGGTATATATTGACACATTTGGCGCGCCTCTTCAAAGTCCACCTCGCGCTCCGTTTCCATGTCGCACTTGTTGCCAATCAATATGATCAGAACATTCGATGCCGTGTATCTGCGCACCTCCTCGATCCACTTTTGCAGATTGGAAAAGGAAGACCTCTTTGTGATGTCATAAACTGCAGTGAAAAACAATTACAAATTGTAGATAATAGAGGCCACAAGCAGAGCAAACACTATTAAAATCAATGCCTCGCAATAACATTAGAGCGTGGAGCGGCGCGGTGCGACGCCTCTTATCAGCGAATCACGACAGGAGCTCTCGCTCTCCACTTCACTTCTACTGATAGCGTAGGGCGTCGTCGGTGGCGCCATGACAAATGAATGGGCGTGCGTATCCGGAAGATACCGACTCACCAATTAAGACACCGTTGGCCGAGCGATAATAGCTCTGCGTAATGGTGCGAAACCTTTCCTGGCCAGCCGTGTCCCAAATTTGTAGCTGAAGGAATATGATTCATTTTCTTAATACCCTTTGATATTACTCCAGCCAACGCTTACCTTAATTTGTTTTGCTTCCACGGCTATGGTCTTCATGGAAAAGTCTACGCCAATTGTATTGCCATGTCGCTCTATGTAGTTGCCCGTCTTGAACCTGTCCACTATGCAGGTTTTCCCCGTACCACAGTCACCGATCAGGACGATTTTGAACAGGAAGTCAAAGTTCTCCTCGTTGGGCAGTGCCATCAAAGTCTGTGGGTTACGCGCCGTCATTATATCTGTCCAATGTCGTGTGTTCTGGCTGGCTATGGAGTGAGTTTCTGGTAGTTTTTCTTTGCCAATGGAAAATGAAAACAAAGATTGAATAAATGCACTTGTTAGTGGTGATGGGATGGCTGTTCGCAGCTGTTCCACAGCGATAGCTATCGATACGCAGAACGATAAGTGTGCCTATCGATGCGTTGACTTTTGAATTGGATTTTTATGTTTGACAATATTTGCTTTCCGCTTCGGGCAGTTTGCCAATTGGAAATCTAACATCAAGATCTTATCCATTATGCAAGAAATCCATTAAAGCTGCCTATCTATTTAAATGAGGCATTGGCCAAAGCAAATGGAAAGCATTTTGTGCGTGTGAATTGATGTACGGGCTACCATCACGTACCATAGGTCGAGCGGCTTTCTGATAACATTTTTGGGTCTGATGTGCAAACCAATAAATTTTCACCACGTACCCTAATGATGCAGTCATTTAACGCTATGAAATTTTGCTTTATTGAGTGATAAATATTTATGGCAATTTCCCCAATGCAATTTTTATTGACTTTCCCATCCAAATATGAGACCTTGACCTACATTCAGTGCGGCCAGTTCTATTTCTAGACTCACTTTCAGAGCGCAGCGGAAGCTCCACCACTCACGCCACACACAAAACATGTTCTATGGCGCATCTGCATCTGCATCTCGTTCTGCATCTGTATTTGTGTATGCAAAGCATCTTCAGTTGACCAACTGCTTCGATTGCCAAGCCACTTGGAAACCGCAACGCCTGATTGTGGCTCTGTACGCACTGACGCCTCCATTTGGGCAAGGAAAGTTTAATTGCTGCAAGCCAAAGTCGTGGGGTGGCTGGGCCTGAGAACTTGTCTGTCAGCCGCTGCCTTAGAGTGAAACTAATTGCGACCCAGTTGCGTTTTGCAGGGAAAACCCTCACAGATGAGTCACTGGCTTAGAGCGCCCCAGGAAGTGCACCTCTCAGAGGCTATCCTCAGAGTTGAAGTCGCAGTTCAGCTCACCCACTCGCTGGCAGGAAAATCAAACAGCAAATTGGCAAACTTTACACACACAGCAGATCAGATATTTCAGTCTTTCCATACTGGTTTGCCAGTTTCGGCTGTAGCTTCTGCCTCGTACTCCTCTTCTTCTTCCTCCTCTGCTGCTTCCTCTTCTTCGGCCCATTGCGGTTTTCGCTGGCTTTTTATCGTGCGCCTCGACCGCTAGCCGCTTTAGTTGAATTTCAAACGTTTGCGCGCCCGGTTGTCTGTCCCCCGGAACATAAAGCGAAAAGTAACCGAAGTCCATGTTAGCTTCTCCTTCTAGCCAAGGACCAGCATAACGCGTGTGTTAAGTGAAAAACGTGTCTGCATGACTCAAGCATTGGAAAAGTGAAGTTTTGATCTTGCGCTGAACTCTGCCGGAGAGGCAAGCGAGGAATTTTCGGCAAAAGGAAACCAAAAAATAGGACAAGTTCAACGGCAACGCCAAAGATTTTTCCCAGCCGATTGTGACCAGCCGAGTCTTATGTAAGCTGCGCTACAACTCCTCGAGAATGTGCCCCCAAAAAGCCAAATCCGATAAACAATTACAATTACCTAATTGTCATGCATTAAGCGTTAGCTTCATTCGAACTTTCTATAGCTGTGCCGAGTACGATTTTTGTGTGTTGTTTGATTGATTTCCTCGCACATGCCGAGCACGCACACAGATCCCTCCCCCGCACGACACACAGACAGACAGATGACACCACTTGCACTTTCCTTTCGCAATCATTTTTTGTTGCTGGATTTCTAATTAATTATTCCGTGACAGTCCCTTGTGCCTGTGCCTGTGCCTGTGCCTGTCCGGTGCGGGTGCAACGTGCCAAAAGACTTGAGCAACGAACTCGGCCCGCTTGCTTGTGTTTTTTGCTGTCGCTTTGATTGGGAATGAAATAATCAAAATTATCATACGAATATTTTGTTGTACAAGTGTCTCCACTCCACTCCACTCACCTGCTGACCCAGTTTTCGGTTTCATTAAGTAAATTTCTTTATTTCGCGCTGATTGCAAAAAGAAAAAACGCTCTTGGGATTCTGACAGCGGACAATCAGACAGACACACGGACCTGGCTGGACACACGTTTCATCTGTCCATACTTGGCACTGCCAAGTGCACGCCAATTAAAGCTCAGCTGCACTAATTCGCCATAAGTTTTTGCAGAAGGAAAGGCTTTTCTCTCAATCAGAGACTGAGTCGGAGTCTGATTCTCACTTTTCTCACTTCTCGAGCGGTGTGTCCACCGCATTCCAAGCTGACATTTCTTGCGTGTTTGTTGTGCTAGACTGCAACTGTAAAAAGGGAGCGTAAAGAGTGTTGCAGAGTGTTGTAAAAAGTGTTTTGTGCTTCCCAAAAGGCTTTCTTCTTTTTTGCTGCTTTTCTATTGCTGATTTCGTATAGAAATCAAAATGTATCCTTGGCCATAAGCGAGCGTCACTCTCTCACACTCTTTGCACTGTCAACTGCATTTGTATTTGGATTTAGTTTTGGCTACGACTGCCCCAGCCAGTTCTGCCTCCTGCTGTGGCACAACGCACTTGCCCAGTCAGTGTGTCTGTCTGTCCAATCCACACTCCTCCTAGGCGACTGACCTCATTTTCATTTTCATGTCCATCATTTGCTCTGTGTGCAATTAATCCTATCGCAGCGTATTTGCATTTTTACATTTTTGCAGCCACGCCCCAGCGGCTCCTGTCTGTAGGCCTGTCTGGTTCTGTCAGCATATTTGTTTGGGCCTAGTTTGGGTGCAGTGCAGCGACAAGTGTCCATCCCAGCGAGGAGAAACTCACGCTGCTGTGCAACCTTTGAGTGAATCGAACTAGAATGTTTGGTCTAGAAAGCTGCTAGCCTGGTGCTGCCACCACTCAAATGGCCATCAAATTGTAGCCTTGAGAAAGTGCAGCACAGAATATGGCTTTGGCTCTAATCATGGCCTACACTACAGGCCAACTGCAACCGGCTCACTGGTTCTGTGGCTCTGCAGCTTGTTGCATCACTGATGCTGCACGAGTAAAAGTGCGTCGTGCAGCGAGAAATCAATTTGTTGTGCTCTCCATTTTGGTTGTGGGATTCCTTACCGGGGTGAAATCTACAACTGGTTTCGTTTAGAATAATAAATCAATTTGTTGGGATGCTTTCACAGGCCAGAAGAGTCCGAAGAGCCATTTGCCAATTCCTAATACCGAGCTGTGGGTATTTTTATAGCCATTTGTATGTGCTTCAATGTGCTTGTAATCAGAATTGAAGCTGCCAGCCAGGCCTAACGGGGCAAACAGTTGAAGCAACTGAAACAATGCCAGATCTGTGCATCGCTTTCCCAAAAAATACAACACGAGACACGTTCGACAGGCTAACCAGTTGCTGCAGCTAGAAGGAGGAGAGTGGCGGCTGAAGGCTGCAGCATGAGAATGGAGCAGAAGTTGCAGTTGAGAATGCAGAATGGGCAGAGACTCTGGCGCCAATTGATGTTATACAACTGTTGAATAATGATGGCCATTAGGCTGATGTTTCAGCAGTTCCATTTTGCCAGCTAATCGCTATCTTTTGCTGGATTTAGCAGCTTTAAACTCTAATCTCTAATCACTTGTTCCAGCATGTCGCGTTGCAACTTATCGGACTTTGGCCTGCTGCTTTCCATGCTGGTGCTGCTGCTGCTGCCAGTCCTCTGCGTGTGTCAATCCACATCAACGCCCAATCGACAGCAGCAGCAGCAGCAGGCGGATGCCGCACAGCTGGCGGATGTGGAGGCTGCCGCACAGTCAGACGCTTGGGACGATGCAGATCCCGATGCGCCGCACATACGCAAGAAGCGTTTGATTTGGATTACGGACGATGGACGACTGGCACTGCCACCGGGCACCTCGCTGACATTTACGCCAACGATTGCCATGCCACTGGTCAGGCATCCGCCCGAGGGTTTCTTCTCCAATCTGACCATCAGTTTCCCAGTGACCAGTGAGTCCCACCAATGACTATTCACTTAACTCTGTGGTAACTCTCTCTCTCTCTCTCCTCTCTCCACAGTTGACTTTGACAAGCTGGGACTGACGGACAATCAGAATCCTTTGGGCGATTTGCCGCCGCTGTTTTCGCGCTCCTTTGGCCACGAGGCGGGCCACATGGTGGGCGAGTATGTGGCCAGATATTTGCATGTGCAGCGCCGCAAGCGAGATCTCAGCGAGCAGCGCAGCAGGAGCGAGGATGCGCCGTTCCGCGTGCACGACGAGGGTCCCAAGTTTCCGGATTTGCCCGCCGGCATGCAGCACATCTTCCATGGCGGCGAACGTGTGCTGCTCTACGGCGTCGTGGAGGATTTTCTCTCCACCTTCGGCATGGATGGAAAGGCGTGTCTGCTGCGCACCATCTGCGAGATGCATTCCCGCAGCCTGGACAAGTTTGGTGTGTTCGGAGAGATGACAAAATTGTTCTTAACGTGCGTGACGTCAGTCCTTCCTTGGTGGTTGCTAATGTTTATCCCCTTTTTAGTGTCACGGAATCGCCTTTTGCTGATCTGGTGCCCGACTACGTGCAGGCTCAACGTGTGGGCGAGGGCAAGCAGGCGCCTGGGGAGTGTTTTCCCTACTTCCAAGCCTGTCCCAAGAGCATCTTCAAGGCGCTGGCGAACAAATACGCCAAGCCCGCGAAGACATCCAGCCCCAGCAAGACGAAAAGGACAACGACGACCAGCGCTCGACCAGCGTTGGGGGAGTATCACGAACAGCAGGCCATACAGCTGCAGCTGCCTGTCACGCGGGATCCCAGTCGCGATAATGTTTATATGTGAAGATCCTCCTGCTCCTGCTCCTGCTCCTGCTCGTCCTCCCATTGTTGACCTCGTTTAGGTTTAGTTTCCGTGAACATTCAGAGTCATTTGCCTGTAATTAACATTTACTAATTATTAATTTATTTACTTGTATTTATTGTGTATTTATTGTGTATTTATTGTGTTAGTCATTAAGCCCTTGTTGTTGTTGTTAACTGCTGAGTGTGTGTTGTGTGCGTGTGTGTGTGTGTGTGTGCGTGGCTTCACCTGTAAATAATTTGCAATCGTGGCATAGTCCCCAGCCCTCACCCCTACAC